CCACTCTGTTCTCTCTCTCTCTCTCTCTCTCTCTCTCTTTCTCTCTCTCTCGTTCAGAATGTTTCTTCCTGACTGTCATCCCCTCGATCGCAAGAGACGTTTCGCCTAATCGCCTCTCGTGATCTTTCGAAAATCTGTCTTTTGTATCTCGATCTTCGAGACGAAATGCAACAGTGACTGCAAAACGTAACGAGGATGCGGCTGTCCGTTCTCGCGATTTCCGAGGTGAGAGCTGAGTGTGGTTTTTGTGGTTAGCTCCAGGTATACAAGAGAGATATTCGAAGGGAATGGGAGCTCTTGCGAGGTAGATCGGGGATCGAAACGTCGATATTGAGTCTCATTCCGTGCGCGACAGGTTTAAAGAATCTGTGGGAATGTAGATTCAAAGGGATCAATAATAACAAGAAAGTATGTCAACGTATTGCAAGTTGATGCTAATGGCAAATATAGCTGTTTCCAATATCAACGGCGATACTTATCGGTCGACGCGAGTTAACGTGGAAATATATTGTTTGAAAAAAAAAAAAAACAGGTGAACTTGGAACTTTATAGATTCAAAGGTGGTTATGCGACGTTACGTTTTATTTTATAGAGCTCAAGTTCGAAGAAGTCATTATGCGTACTGCCTGAAGAGATTGTTCACGAAACAAAAGTACGTTATTGTACAAAAGTCTGATATTAATATTATCAGTATCAACAATAATATATCATGTTGATACTGATAACATTTTATAATAATAAATTTTATAATATTATATATATATATATTATATATATTAATTGTATATGATAATATTATATCATATATATATATATATATATATATATATATATATATGTATATATATATATATATATATGTGTGTGTGTATGTGTGTGTATCCAGGAGAAATCAAGTTGTAGATTATATTGATATTATAAAGAATATGGGATAAGATTTGATATCATAATATAGATGGCATTGCCATATCTTTTCAGGGTAATCATGCTGCCCTCACACCGCTGGAAGACATGTCCGCGGGACGAGGGCAGGCAGGTGGAGGGCCTCCTCAGAATTGTCAGAAAGTTTTTATACAGCGTGACTACAGTGAAGGTACTATGGTCAAGTTCCAAACACGGTTTCCCACAGAACTGGAAAGTAGAGTAAGTATCACAGTCGAGAAATTCTAATCTGTATTGCAAATCAGACTGCTTTCCGAAAGTCAAGTGATGAAAAATATCACAATGTACTTTTTCTGATTTAGCTAGACCGACAGTTGTTTGAATATACGATCAATCAGTTGAATAATTATTTTGCCGAGGCGGAGCGTGCCAGTTGTTCCACATACTGCGAGAGCTGCCTATACTGTCTCACAGGTTATCTGATAAGTATATGTACCGAAACGCACTACGAAAAGTGTCTGCGCAAAGTCGCCAAGTTCGTTAGCGAGCAAAACGATCGAGTGTATAAGCCGCGCGGCCTTCTGCTGACGGATCCAACAACTCGAGGGCTCAGGCTAATAGAGATCTCGGTACTAGATAGACCTGCGTCGTGACTGCATATTAGCCGATCCAGGGAGTTTTTCATGTGACCCTCCGCGCACCAATCTGGACATTACCTTGCCAGAATCACAGATATGCATGCGCTCGTGAATGCTTTTCGGCATAATTACGGGGCGTACCGGCTGGTTTGAATCTTTTATAAGATGTAAGAATTTTACAAGACTTGAAAGTCTTTCGTCAACGATGACATCTTGTGGGCCGCAAATCGCTTAGGTGTATCTTGCATGATTAATCTTGCCGAACATGTGCGCAAAGAATCGAAACTCTATTGTCGTCGGGTCGTGCCTCGTACTTAGTCCTAAAAAATAAATGTAAAATAAAGATCGATGATAGATAGATTTAAAATAAGCGTGTGAAAACTTGCGGAAAATGGGAATACATATGTGGGAATAGATGCGATTGTAATTCGTGGAAATTTTGTCGTAGATTTATCTCAATTTAAATGTAACATAGAACAAACTTATACAAGGTCGGCCTAATCGCGACAAGAGAGTCTCGCTTTCATTCGCGTTCGTGTCTTATCCTAAATGGCAGCTGCTGTGTTCTTGAGGGAGGGCGTGCATTGAAGCGCGTAGATAACGAAGCCGTGGCACTTCTATAAGTTCAAGTTTTCTATATGCGTACACAGAACATATAACATACGAAAGTATATGAAGTATACATGACGAATCAGGGTGTAAAAGAAAAGCGTAACTTCATATTCGTATGTATTGTCAAACAATGCGAATTGGTTTATCGTCAGCTGCCACATTGATTCGTCATGTATATGATGGGGTCTACATATTTTTTTACTGTTCATTTATGACTTTATCGTATCATCTGCATTTAATTAATGAGATGTGAATGAAATGCGTGTCCGCGTGAATTATCCTAGCAAAGAGATGGCATTCGATGTTAGCGTATTTTGTTCAGATTCCGCCGAGCTCGAGAATCTCGATTACGAGCGAGTCTCGTTTTCGAATTATTCTTCTCATCTTCCGCGATGTATCTTCCATTACGTTCATGTATCCTCGCCGTAAAAGCGTAAACTTCTCTCGCATACGTATGTATATCAAGTGAAGTGTTTAGTTCATTGTGCATGTGGATGCCTCTCGATAGCGAAGACGGTAGATTCGATCGAAATTATCGGCACAAACACTTGTCGCGCCGTAAAGAAACCCGTGGATTGGCTAAAAAAGGAAAGAAGGAAGAGAAATTGTGTAAAAAGCGGTGATATAAAAATAGATTACATTACCAATCGATTGGCATTGTGATCAAGGATAGGCCAGGTCGTTTGCGATGCAGCGCAAAACTTCGTGCCGCCGCTTTAGTCCGCTCTCTCAATCGAAACTGGACACCTCTTGGTCGTCGTCATTGCCACTGCAAGTTCTCGATATCGCGACGCTGGACACTTTCCATATTCCACTTCTATTAATTAGTTGTAAATAATAATGATCTCAAACGATACAACGACGTAACACCATGTCTACTTTTACTTTCTCCTGCGCGCTTGGAGAGCCTAAAGTATTGTAACAAAACGTAAAACGCAACGCCAGGAGGAGTACATCTTTTCTGGCTTCGGCTACGATTGTTCTAACCGAGATGCATCGCGAACCTCGAACCGGTCTATTTTCTACTAGCTCGATTTCAAGTGTGATTGCATGTAAGAAACGATGCATGAAAATCCCACGTCCCCGGCAACGAAATTCGAGCTTGTCGAAATCCTTTATCAGTTGAAAGTCTCAATTTATGCGCGCTTGCCGCGGCATCGCGTACAGCAGCGATCTCTCATTCTTGGTCACAATGCGCGCGGAGCCTGCCCGACGTTGTAATGCGACGTGTCTGTAGAACGGATCTTGCCAAATAAGCGTGTCACTGCCTCGGCGTACGATTTTCTAGTACATCATGAATAGCGCAATATAAAAAAAAAACGTACGGGCCGGAGATCGTCGAAGGGAGACGACCGAGGGACATCTCCGAAGAAGTTGAAATAGAGAAAAAGATGATATCGAAAGGAAACAACAAAACAGGAAAACAGGAAAGCAGTCTCCTGAGAAATTGCGGGAAGTTTCCCATTAACCAATTCTTTTGGACGTCGCAATATCACGTGTACTAGGCTCTGACTGCATGCGCGCGCGCATGTTTGCATATAATGTACATATAGCGGATTATAATCGTCGACACACACGAAGTTATAAAGAAAAAAGGCAGAAAAAAGAAAAGAGGAATCGTTTGTTATATTTAATTTAATTTAGTAGGACCAATATTGGATTGATGATCCGTAATTGTAAAGGACACCATCGTGCGAATGTAATTTCTAAATGTTTTAATAATAAAAACGGCGTAAATATACATCCCGTTTTAAAGATCCATTTTCAATTCCTGTCAAGATAATATTTCTTCCTTTTTTTTGCTCTTTTTATTTTGAAAGTCTCGTTAAGATTTTCTCAAACATTGCTTCTAGTGATAATAGATAATGCTACGAATAATAAATTTTAGAAACTATTGACTTGACTGATCAATGATGATGGTCACTGATGATTAATTAATCAAATGCATTTAACAATTTTTCTCCCTTTTTGATTTGAGCGATAGAGGAATTAAATAAAGCTGCATCTAATCGAGATGACGTTATAAGATGATGGGATGGAATTTTAACGAAAAAAAATGAGTGTACTAACGCCCTCTCAGAAAATGAAGAGATTAGAGCAAGATAAATAATAAGCCATCTCGAAAGTTCGAGAATCGCAAT